AGAGAAGAGAAAAGGGAATAGAGTAGAATAGAATAGAATAGAACAGGGAATAAAAAATAGAGTAGAGTAGATAATAGGGGATAGAATAGAAAATATAGTATAGTATATGGTAATCTATATATTTAAAAGCGAAATCCCACTCATGCATCATCACAAAATCTCCAGAACCGTAAAGTCTACAAACCTGAAATTTGGCACATATGTTCCTCTGCTTCTAGGTGCTCACTAAGAAAGGATTTTTCAAAAGGACCATCAGAGCATTAGTATTTGTATATTATTATTAACACACTCTGGTGCTAAGGGGTTCTACTCCCCCTCCCCACCTGAAAAGAAATCTGTTCCAAATGCAAAATACAAGTAGTGGAGAGGAGTTTCAGTTTCACAGCACCAATCAGCTTTACTACAGAATAGTTGAGCTAAGCCATGCCCAGGCTCCTTGCTGTCTCCTTGCTCACACAGCAAATACTGCTTCAGTTTCCAAACAGCCCTCTCTCTCACACAAACACTGACAGGACGCTAGCCAGATGAATACCGATGGATGCTGGTAGGCAGAGGCAGAATTTTTTTCCCCTTATTTTCCTCTCCCAAAACTAAGCCTGTCCACATAGTTTCATAGCAAAGCACGGGTATTGAGCTAGTTATAAATATAATGTATGATATAGTATAATTATAATATGTATATAATATATAGTACGTAATGGAATGGATAATATATCATTATAGTCACTTTCCTAACGGAAACTTTATCTTGTAGAGAAAACACAGTTTTAAAATGACGCCTTTGGAGAGAACATGACTGCTGCCTCCCCTCTGCCCTGCATGGAAAATGCAGCCTTTCTCCCCTTTGCCTCCTGAACACCTGCATTGCACACGGAATCCACCAGAGGGCTCCCTCTGCCAAGCCAAGGGAACACAGTGCACTTCACCATTGGGTGGCTAGAAGACCACAGCTGGCTTTCCAGAGGAGGAGGAGGAGGAGGAGAAGGGAATGACATCACAAAGCTTTGCCACTCTAGGATGCTGCACTCTCTCTCCCCGTCACCCTTTGAGCTTCGCTGCAGGTAAAAGAAAATGCTGCAGGGGGGGTGTCTTGTGGGGGAGACAGCCAGATGTGGCCCTAAGAGAGGAAAAGGAAGGGGGGGGGCCCCTTCCCAGGCAAAGGGGGGGGGGGGGGGGGGAGGGGTCCTCACCCTGGAGGAAGGAAAGACACATGCCAAGTCCTCATCCCAAGTTCAGTCTTCTGAACCCCCGGGAACGGGAGACCCCAAAGTCCATATTCCCCAGCTGGGAGCGGGAGAACCCAAAGTCCATGTGCCCCAGCTGCCCCTTTCCATGCAAACAACAGGCAGGGGGGGGGGGAGAGAAGCAGAGGACCAGCTGTGTTGCCCAGAAGAATGCCAGGGTTGGGAGGGGGAGGTGGGGGCTGGGTGAGTCCTTCCCGCCCCGTTTTCTGAGAACAGCCAGAGCGAATGGAGAGGGAGAGGGAGGATCTACCATGCAAATTTCAGGCAGGAGATGCCCCAAGGAGGGTCAGATTCGCACCAGATGCTGCATGAGGCTCAAAGAGAGCCGAATCCTTCACAATTCAGCCTGTCTTAATGGAGTGGAGTGGAGTGGTGGAGTGGAGTGGAGTGGAGTGGAGTGGAGTAGAGTAGAGTAGAGTAGAGTAGAGTAGAAAATGGCATGGCATGGCATGGCATGGCATGGCATAGCATAGCATAGCATAGCATAGCATAGCATAGAATAGAATAGAATAGAATAGAATAGAATAGAATAGAATAGAATAGAATAGAATTTTTCATTGGCCAAGTGTGATTGGACACACAAGAAATTTGTCTTTGGTGCAGTGTACATAGAGAAAAAATAAAATGCATTCATCAAGAATCATAAAATACAGCACTTAGTCATAGGTTACTAATAAGCAATCAAATCATACTAGGGAACAATAAAAAACAATATAAATTGTAAAGATACAAGCAACATGATTACAGTCATAAGTTGGAAGAGATGGGTAATAGGAAGGATGAGAATAATAATAATAATACAGTTTTACTATATAGTTTGACAGTGTTATGGGAATTAGTTGTTTAGCAGAGTGATCGCATTCAGGGTTTCCCCTTAAAACTCTCGTTTTAAGAGGGGGAGTGAAGCAGGACAGCATCTCCAGACCCTGTTTGAGGGGGTTGCACTTGGCTCCTACCATTGGCTGACCTGTTAAAGCTCGGGGGTGTTGGGTGAACCTTCCTATGTGTAAGATATTTTATTTATTTATTTATTTTTATTTTATTTTATTTATTTTTATTTGTCAATCGCTTACAAGATAATAGGTATAAGTATATACATAGTTATGAATACATGAAATGGGTACATATAAAAAAAATAAAAGAAACAATAGGACAGGGACGGTAGGCACGTTGGTGCGCTTATGCATGCCCCCTACATGACTTGGCTAGATGACTTGGCTATATGACTTGGCTCTCCGAAGGTCAACCCTGAAAAAGGGAAATGGAGCATCATAAAGCCAGGGACGCGGTGGCTCAGTGGCTAAGACACTGAGCTTGTTGATTAGAAAGGTCGGCAGTTCGGCAGTTCGAATCCCTAGCGTCACATAATGGAGTGAGCTCCCATTACTTGTCCCAGCTTCTGCCAACCTTGCAGTTCAAAAGCATGTAAAAATGCAAGTAGAAAAATAGGGACCACTTTGGTGGGGAGGTAACAGCGTTCTGTGCGACTTCAGCATTTAGTCATGCCGGCCCACATGACCACAGAGACGTCTTCGGACAGCGCTGGCTCTTCGGCTTTGTAACGGAGATGAGCACCTCCCCCTAGAGCCGGAAACGTCTAGCACGTATGTGCAAGGGGAACCTTTACCTTTCTCTATTTTTTTCAGAGGTATATTTTTTTTACAAGGGGAGGGAACTCTGCACATGCTCTGAAGACCCCCCCTTCAAATGAACCTTTACCTTTAAAGCCAGGGTCGTATCCTTGCCTTTCATTTGGAGTTTCATGGTTTGCTAATTCGTTTGGGGTTTGACCTGTTGCATGAGCCCTGCTTGGAGGTGAATATAGGTCTAGTTTTTAAAAAGCAATCCCTTCCTTGTGAAAAAAAAAAAAAAAAGGAGAAAGAAATAGAAAATGTTCCAGCATTTCAGCATTCTGAATCCTTGATGAAAATAAAATATTTTTCAACCGTGCGTCGCAAGCACTCAATAGGATGCTCAATGCTATTGCAATCCCATATCCGGTCAGAAAAATATTTTCCTTCCACGGGGATTAATATTGCTCAGTGGTTCAATCCACCACTTTCTAATTCTTGGGATAAAGTTAAGATCATATGAAATGAGAATATTACTATCTTTATCGTCAGAGTACCTATATTGTCAGAGTGAGATTGGCTGAGCATCCCTTCGTGCACCCTCCCACACATACAACTCACAATGCTGACGTACCTTTGAAAGAAAACCAGGAAGCCTGTAATGGTAGAAATCTGTCTGGCAAGAACAAAGAATGCTTATTCACAGGGAATATGCACCTGTAAAGCCTGTAACAATTCTGGGTGATTAGAAAGCTGCTAAAAATAATAAAGAGTTAGATAAGAAAAATCAAATGCACAGGTACAGTATATGTGGTACCTTGCTCAATAGTACTGACGGTGAGAGGAATCTCGGACGACCATTTAAATGTGAGCCAGCCATGTGCAGCAGCTGCCAAAAATGCCAACACAGTTCTAGGCTGCATAAACAGAGGGATAGAATCAAGATCACGCGAAGTGTTAATACCACTTTATAAGGCCTTGGAAAGGCCACACTTGGAATATGGCATCTAGTTTTGGTCACCACGATGTAAAAAAAGATGTTGAGACTCTAGAAAGTGTGCAGAGAAGAGCAACAAAGATTATTAGGGGACTGGAGGCTAAAACATGAAGCATGGTTGCAGGAACTGGGTATGTCTAGTTTAATGAAAAGAAGGACTAGGGGTGACATGATAGCAGTGTTCCAATATCTCAGGGGCTGCCCCAAAAAAGAAGGAGTCAAGCTATTCTCCAAAGAACCCGAGGGCAGGACAAGAAGCAAAGGATGGAAACTAATCAAGGAGAGAAGCAATTTAGAACTAAGGAGAAATTTCCTGACAGTTAGAACAATTAATCAGTGCAACAACTTGCCTTCAGAAGTTGTGAATTCTCCAACACTGGAAGCTTTTAAGAAGAGGTTGAATGACCATTTGTCTGAAGTGGTGTAGAGTGTTGTAATGACGAGGCAGTCGAGTTGTTTGATCATGATCAACTGAATCATGATGATCTTTATTGGAGTCTAGTCTTGCATTTATACACATTTTTAATTATCCCCCATCATTGGTTAACTTTGGTTACTGCTTAACTTTTGTTACTGTTTAGCATAGTAATTAACACAATTAATTATCTCTAGTTAAAATCTAACATATGTTTACTTCCTCTCTCTAATCCTCCTTTAGATTAGTGACTTTGTTTGCCTGAGTTGTATTTGCTTGGAAACATTCTTTATCTGAGGTTTGCCACCCGAGATTGGAACATTCCTGCAATTACAACTCTACAGTAGGGTTTCCTGCCTAAGTAGGGGGTTGGACTAGAAGACCTCCAAAGTCCCTTCCAACTCTGTTCTATTCTAATATAGACATCTTGCAGAGCTCAGCTAGAAGTTAAGAATAGAGATGGCCTGGAGCAAATAGAGTGTGTATTAGGTAATTCCTGGAGCATTCATTAGCCAAGACTTAGGAATAAGGATGGGTAGAGACTAATAGAATAATTGTTAGATCATTACTAAAATGTTTATTAGATGGTATTTCTTATACATCCTGCCTTATCCTGCCTTCATTTTTCTAACAGAAGAATTAATCGGTAGAATGATTTGCCTTCAGAAGTTATGGGTGCTCCAACACTGGAAATTTTAAAGCAGAAATTGGACAAGCATGGTATAGCGTCCCCTGCTTGAGCAAGGGATTGGATTAGAAGACCTCCAAGATAGCTTCCAACTCTGTTGTTCTGTTCTGTTCTGCTCTGTTTATTTTCTTTTCCATCTTAGATGCACAACCTGGAAGCCATTTGTTCTCTTCATGTAGAGATAAAATTATCTATTGGCTGAAGAGGGCTGAATGTCCAACTAGCAACATAGCTGCAGCAGCAGAAACAGTGCTTTGAATGAAAAGTTGTTTGGAGAGCCAGCCACAAGATCCCTTGGACCCATTTGGCATTGCCTTACAGGAGAGAGAGAAAGAGAGAATGGAGATGCAACCTTCAGTGAGTGAGGGAACTGGAAGAGGTTGTTCTGTTGTTCAGCCTGGGGACTGCAAGGAGGTCTGGCCAAGAACTGGGCAGAAGGTCCTGGAGAAGGAAACTATTGTCCCTTCAGAAGTTCAATCCTGGAACTTCAGGAGCGTCCAATACCAGGCTTCTGAGGATCCCCGAGGACTTTGCAGCCAACTCCATGACTTTTGTAGTCGATGGTTCAAAGCAGATAAGCATACCAAAGCCCAGATGCTGGACCTGGTTGTTTTGGAGCAGTTCCTGGCTCTTCTGCCCCTGAAGATGGAGAACTGGGTGCGAGAGTGTGGAGTAGAGACTAGCTCCCAGGCAGTGGCCTTGGTGGAAGGCCTTTTCCTGAGCCAGGCAGAGGAGCAGAAGGAGCAGGTGAGAGACCTTCCCTTTGGGAGCCCAGAATGGAATTGTCAGGATTCCGGAGATTGCCCTAATTAAATCATGAGCCTTGAGCCAAGCTTCAAAAGAAACCAAAAGATTTATTAGGAGCAACATGTCCGGCATTAATCTGTATGAAGCCAACTCTGGCGTACATAATTTACAATCAGACGATCCGGTAGCTTAGCTACAATCTTTGTAAGATAAGTATTGGAATGTATTTCTGGTTTTAAACTGCTGCACTGTTCCTTCAGATTTCCTTTCCCCCCCACCCCCTTGTTTATGGCAACTCTAAACAAGCATAGGAATGCTTTACAAGTTGACAGGAATAAAGAATGTGGTTGACTTTTCATCCTTCCCTACCAGAGGTTTCTGGCACTCATAATATGTGGAGATGTTTCCATAATTCTTGTAGGATATTGTTTCGTTACTTATTTTAGAAAATTGGCATTTCTTGCTTACTTTCCACCCTCACTGTTGAACTTTGGAGGCTTTCAAGAATCCATTTCATGTTGCGCAATGTCCACTAATTCTTCTTTTTTTCCTGTCTCCTATTTCAAGTCTTTCACAATGGGCATCAGATATCCTGAGGGAAGCAGGAATCCATCAAAATCCGCTCAGGAGCTGTTCTTGAGGGGCATTTCTCTGGAAGATCCAAGTCAAGATATTTTGGGAGGTAATCAAAGGTCCTCCGTTCTCCAGAAAGTTCCAAGATCTCTCCTCTTCTGTAAAACATGTCTTCTTGTTTTACCAATTACGCTTCTTAAAATTCTGTTTTTACCTCACAGGGAAGACTCAAGTGGAGTTGTCTGCTCTTTATGGTGCAGCTGAAACAGTGGTTGAACCTCCAACTCAAGTAAGAGGAGCAAATTCATTCATTAGATTTATCTTCTCCCTTTCCTTCAGGAAGTCATAGTGGTATACAGAGCATTCTCTCCTTCCATGCTCTAGAAAAAGAATAGGATAGGATAGGATAGGATAGAATAGAACACTATACTAATACTATACTATTACTATTACTAATACTACTATACTTTATTGCCACTGAATATACACTAATTGGCATACATTAAAATGAAATTATGCTATCCTGCTTTCTAAAAATTCTTTCAATCCAAGGAATTTTTCTCTGCTTCCTCATCTTCACTCAGCCAATGACTCAGACAGAAATGATAGATAGAAGGAAGGGAGGAAGGAAAGAGAGATGATATATACATATATATAGAGAGAGATGATAGAATAGAGATAGAGAGATGATAAAGAAATAGATGATAGATAGATAGATAGATAGATAGATAGATAGATAGATAGATAGATAGATAGATAGATAGATATAGATAATTATATAGATGATAAAGAGATAGATATAGATGACAGATATTTAGGGAGGGAGGGAGGGAGAGAGAGATGATAGAGAATAAATAGAAAGATAGATGGTAGAGAGAGATTAGATAGATAGATAGATAGATAGATAGATAGATAGATAGATAGATAGATAGACAGACAGACAGACAGACAGACAGACAAACAAAGAGAATAGAGAGAGGATAGAGAGAGATGATAGAGATGTTAGATAGATAGATATAGGGGGAAATTATATAGGATAAATAGAAAGATGGTAGAGAGAGATAATAGATAGACAGACAGACAGACATAGAGGATAGATGGCTAGAAAGAGATAGATGAGAGAGATGAGAGAGAGAGACAGAGAGAAAGAGAGAGATATCCATAAGGAAACAAGGATTGCTTTCATTGAAAGGCACCGAAAGTCTTGCCACATCAATCAAGTAGATTAAACTTGCCTGAATTATTTCTTCATTCAAAGCCTATCTATTTTTTTCATCTCAACCTTGGAATCCTATCAAGCACAGCCATTTAACCTAGTGTATATCTTTGCTTTGGGAAAACCTCCTTGAGCCTATTCGGTTTCTTTGTTTCCCTGTTCAGGAGGGTCTTGTGTCCTTCAAGGAGGTGGCGGTGTATTTCTCTGAGGAGGAGTGGTCTGAGCTGGATCCGGACCAAAAAGCCCTCCATTGGGAAGTCATGATGGAAAATTATAGGAATGTAGCCTCACTAGGTAAGTAGGTTGGCTGCTCCCCAGTCAGAGAGTTTTGTGATTAAATGCCGTCAGCGGTTTCATATTAAAAAGTTTCTAACCAGGTGTTCCGAAGGTGCTTTTTTCGAAAGGCAACTGGACTTCCTTTGTTTTTCCTTGAAGACATTTTGCTTCTCAGCCAAGAAGGTTCTTCAGTTCTGACCGAATGGTGGAGCAGGGAAGGATTTATCTTCCATCCCATTCCTTCCAAATCGTTCCATTCTCTACCACTGAATCAGAACTGAAGATGTTTTATCACTATCTATCTACCCATCAATCAATCTCCTATCTGTCTGTCTGTCTGTCTGTCTGTCTGTCTATCTATCTATCTATCTATCTATCTATCTATCTATCTATCTATCTATCTATCTAATTTCCATCCCATTCCTTCCAAATCCTTCCATTCTATACCATCCAGTCAGAAATGAAGAAGCTTCTATCTCTATCTATCTATCTATCTATCTATCTATCTATCTATCTATCTATCTATCTATCTATCTATCTATCTATCTATCTACCTACCTACCTACCTACCCACCCATCCATCTTCTATCTATTCTATTCTATCTATCTATTTTCCATCCCATTTCTTCCAAATCCTTCCATTCTCTACCATTTGGTCAGAACTGAAGAAGCTTATCTATCTATCTATCTATCTATCTATCTATCTATCTATCTATCTATCTATCTATCTATCTATCATCTATCTATCTACCCATCCATCCATCTTCTATCTATTCTGTTCTATCTTTCTATTTTCCATCCCATTCCTTCCAAATCCTTCCATTCTCTACCACTGAGTCAGAACTGAAGAAGTTTTATCTCTGTCTATCTACCCATCAATCAATCTGGTGGTGAATGCAAAAAAGAATGCAAATGAACATCTGTCTGTGAGGAGTATAAATCCTTCCATTCCCCACCATCCAGTCAGAGCTGAAGAAGCTTCTTGGTTGAGAAGCGAAGCATCTTCAAAGAAAAAACAGAAAGTCCAATTGCCTCTTGAAAAAGCACCTTTGAGGCAGCCAGGACCTGGATGGCTGAGAATCTCCATAGACAGTAGACTTGATGGTGCCCCATAACAAAAATAATTGTGATGAGTTATTAAAATGAGGGGTCTCTGAACTTGATTGTTTTCTTGCAGACGTTTCATTTTCCAAACTAGGTAACATCATCAGTTCCAGTGAAGAGTGAGACCAAACCTCACCCCTTGCTGGCACTGAGGGTGTTATTGTTGTGGTTAGCCAGCAGCAGGTGCAGATGGCTGAGGAGAGCAATGACTCTGATGAGAGGCCAGGACCATCAGGGAGTGGACTGCTGCCTTCAGAGATTGTGGGGGCTGGCAGCAGGGATGAGGAGGTTCCCAAGGAGCCTGTGCCAAGTGCACGTGCAGAAGGATTACTCAGGGGAAAGAACAATTACAGCAGCACAGGCGACTCGGGAGTAAGGCTGCAAGGTAATGGCCCCTCCCTCAAGAGGATAAAAGCCAAGTTTGAAAAAGTGTTCTTTGCAGAAAGCAAAGAAGCTCTTAAATTCAACTGGTGGACATCTTAGTTTGTGTTTGGAGAATTTTGTAAATAAGTTCTTATCTCTGGGTTTTTGGCAGCCTTGACAAACAACTTGGCAAGGCTCTTTCTTGTCGGAGCTAATTAGTGGAAAGCAGCCTTCAGAACAGAATTCGTTATTAAACCTTAAAAGGTGGGGGCTGCTGTGTTTGCTCTTTGGGAACCCGGTTGGGTCAGAACAGTTATCTAGGTTGGGTAGCAATAGGTTCTGACCCAAACCTTGTTCCAAGGAAACAAACACCAAATGGAGGTAACAGCAAAACCTTTTAATGATTCTTTACGAATTCTGTTCCTTCCCGGTTAAAAGGCTATTAAAACTAATTGTCTCTGATAAGAACGAGCCTTGCCAAGGTTGTGCAAGGCTACCAAGAACACTAAATAAAGTTGCCAAGAAATATTTCAAACACAAAGAGTCTCCAAACACAAACTAAGATAGTCCGAACGTCCACAAGGCTTGAGTGCAAAAACTTCTTTGCTTCCTGCAAAGAACTCCAGTTTCTCAGCTGGCTTTTATCTCCTAAGGGAGGGGCCATTACCTTGCAGCCTTACTCCTGAGTCGCCCATGCTGCTGCATCTGCTCTTTCCTTTGAGCAGCCCTGTGCACATGCACTTGGCACAGGCTCCTCGGGGATTTCTTCATCACTGCTGCCAGCCTCCACAATCTCCAAAGGCAGCACCCCTCCCATAAGGTGAAGAAACCTTTGCAGGAAGCAAAGTCATTTGCTCAGTTTGGATTAAACCTTGAAGCTCTGTGTGGACTTTATATTTCAGTTGGTTTTTTATAGTTCATTTGGCACTTTAGTTTTTGGCAGCAATTCAAAAGAGAGAAAGGTGCGTGCTTCTCTCGAGGGACTGTTTGGGACTCATTACAGGCTGGGAATGAACGTAATCCCCAGTGTTGAAATAAAACCAGAGTTGTTTTAACTAAGCATGTGCTTAATTATGGACTCTGAAGCCTTGGTCAGAACAGAATCACAAAAAGCTAAAATGAAGAAGACTTGAGTGGGCAGAGGGCTTAGTTTTGGTAATGTTCACAAAAGATGCAACAATGATGGTTGATCCCATTTGCTCCTCAGATTGTGTTAACCTTCCTTCCTTCCTTCCTTCCTTCCTTCCTTCCTTCCTTCCTTCCTTCCTTCCTTCCTTCCTTCCTTCCTTTCTTTCTTTCTTTCTTTCTTTCTTTCTTTCTTTCTTTCTTTCTTTCTTTCTTTCTTTTCCCTTTGTTCTAAGCAGAGGATGAATGGGAGATGCTCAGTTCCGGGCATGAAGCAGCAGCACCATTGCCAAAAGATAAGGTGAAAACTGCAGAGACGTTTTTTGGAAAGCAAAATTCTGAGGAAAAACGGTTAAAGGGGGAGCTGGGAATGCGCCCTACTTTACCACATGTAGATATCAGTGACTTCTTGGGTAAAGAGGATCACCCAGAAAAAGAAGGTTGGCCAGAGTGTGGAAAAATACTCACAGATGAATCCGGATTATGCGACTGCTGCAGAAGCCACACTGCAGGGAAACAAAACGAACATGGAAAACGTCCCAGAAGGACCTTCTCAGTTACTCTGCATCAGAGAATACAAGGAGAGAAACCGTATAAATGCCTAGAGTGTGGGAAAAGCTTCAGGGACTCAAGTTACCTTACTTCCCATAAAAGAATCCACACAGGAGAAAAACCCTACGAATGCAAGGAATGCAGAAAGAGCTTCCGTTTTGCACAAAGCCTCACATCCCATAATAAGATTCACACAGGCGAGAAACCCTATGAATGTCCCAAGTGCGGAAAGACCTTCAGTCAAAAATATCAGTATACCGTACATAACCGAAACCACACCGGAGAGAAACCGTATAAATGCACAGATTGTGGGAAACGCTTCACTAATTCAAGTTGCCTCACTTCCCATAAAAGGATCCACACCGGGGAAAAACCATATAAGTGCCCGGAATGTGGAAAGAGTTTCAGAGCTTCAAGTTCTCTTGCTGCCCACAAAATGATCCACACTGGCGAGAAGCCTTATGAATGCAAGAACTGCGCAAAGAGTTTCAGACAAAAATGTCAATATATTGTACATAACAGAATCCACACCGGGGAGAAACCCTATAAATGCATGGAGTGTGGAAAGAGCTTCCGTTCAGCAAAACACCTCCCTTCCCATAAAAGGATCCACACCGGGGAGAAACCGTTTGCGTGCAAGGAATGTGGAAAGACCTTTAGTGAAAAACATCATTTTACTGAACATAACCGAATCCACACTGGGGAGAAACCCTATAAATGTGCTGAGTGTGGAAGATGTTTCACTGTGTCAAGTTCCCTCACTTCCCATCAAAGGATCCATACTGGGAAAAAGTCATACATCTGCCCAGTGTGTGGAAAGGGTTTTACCCAACACCAGTCCCTTTATGAGCATAGAAAAATTCACTCAAGGGAAACACATAAAAAGAAACAGAGTAGAACAGTATAAACAAATTGTCAAAAATTTTGGACTCTGCGGTCCTTGAGCTATATTTATTACTGTGGGGAAATGAAATGTTAGGGAATGAATGGAAGAGAAGATGGAATCGTGATTCTGAGGAAAACGGAGAATAAATATGACTGAATTATTGAGCAATGTTGAGCATTTGTTATATAGAGCCCTGAATCTAATCTTTCTTAAAATATACACCTTGGAACTCTTCTCAGATTACTGACCACTAGAAGCACCTAACATAGTGATATAACATTGTCTCTGACCTTTGATTTTGCTCTTTTTGTAGCTCTATTTACATCTATTTAGCTGTATTTACACCCTAGATCAAGTGTCTTCTAACTTGGCAAGTTTAAGACTTCTTGTGGTTAGCTAGCAGCAGGTGCAGATGGCTGAGGAGAGCGAGGACTCTGATGAGGGGCCAGGGCCATCAGGGAGTGGACTGCTGCCTTCAGAGATTGTGGGGGCTAGCAGCAGTGATGAGGAGGTTCCCAAGGAGCCTGTGCCAAGTGCAAGTGCATGAAGGATTGCTCGGAGGAAAGAACAATTACAGCAGCACAGGCGACTCGGGAGTAAGGCTGCAAGGTAATGCCCCCTCCCTCAAGAGGATAAAAGCCAGGTTTGAAAAAGTGTTCTTTGCAGAAAGCAAAGAAGCTCTTAAATTCAACTGGTGGACATCTTAGTTTGTGTTTGTAAATTAGTTCTTATCTCTGGGTTTTTGGCAGCCTTGATGAACACCTTGGCAAGGCTCTTTCTTGTCAGAGCTAATTAGTGGAAAGCAGCCATTTATCTGTAAAGGAACAGCATTCGTTATTAAACCTTAAAAGGTTGGGGCTGCTGCCTTTGTCTGTGTTTGCTCTTTGGGAACCCGGTTGGGTCAGAACACTTGTGGACTTCAACTCCCAGAATTCCTGAGCTAACATGACTGGAGGAGGAATTCTGGGAGTTGAAGTCCACAAGTCTTGAAGCTGTCAAGTTTGAACACCCCTGCCCTAGATAATAGGCTCAAGATCCAGATGGTTCTTGACAGATGGTTCTAGAACACTGGGCCCTATCTAACAAAATGAAATTCAGTGTAGAGAAAAGTAAAGTCTTACACTTAGGCAAGAAAAATCCAAAGTACACATATAGATTGGGTGAAACCAGGCTCAATAGCTGTAACTGTGAGAGGGATCTTGGAATCTTAGTCGACAACTAGCTAAATATCAACCAGCAGTGTGCGGCAGCAGCCAAAAATGCTATTGCAATCCTAAATTGCATTAACAGAGGGATACAATCAAGATCAAGTGAGGTACTAATATCACTCTATAAAGCCTTAGTAAGACCACACCTAGAGTATTGCATCCAGTTTTAGTCACCATGTTATAAAAAAAGGTGTTGAGACTCTAGAAAAAGTGCAGAGAAGAGCAACCAGGATGATTAGGGGACTGGAGATTAAAACATACGATGAATAGTTGCAGAAACTGGGCATGGCTAATCTAGTGAAGAGAAGGACTAGTGGAGACATGATAGCAGTCTTCCAATATTTGAGGGGCTGCCATGGGGAGGAAGGGGTCTACCTATTTTCCAAGGCACCCAAAGGCCAGACAAGGAATAATGGATGGAAGCTAAACAAGGAGAGATTCAACCTGGAAATAAGGAGAAACTTTCTGACAGAACAATCAACCAATGGAACAGCTTGCCCTTGGAAGTTGTGGGAGCGTCATCCCTGGAGGCTTTCAAGAAGATATTGGACTGCCATCTGTCAGAAATGGTGTAGGGTCTCCTGTTTGGGCGGGGTGACCTACAAGGTCCATTCCATCTGTTAAGCTGTTAAATCTCTGTCATTGAACATTAATTACAAGGGCTGTCAAAACTTTCCATTCTCTTTTATTTAGTCTTCAGGCTTTCTCATCTGTTGAAATGACCAAAAAACAACAACACAACCCCATGCCAGTTTTAAGCCACAGATGGGCAATCTTAGCTTTGCTGTCATCATGTAATTTCCTGAATAAAGATCTCTTTTGGTTATCATTCTTTTAAGGACTAGTCTCAGAATTGTTTAATATAATGTTTCATTCTCGGTGCTTCATTCTTTCTTTTTAAATGCGCCGTTTAACTCATATAGGACAGGACAGGACAGGAATTTGGGCAGTATTCCAGAGTTACAAAGTACGAGATAAAAGGTTTCCTTCCCTAGATCCCCAATAATATTCCCCACTTAATGACAAAGCCATGGTTGCATCGGGGGTTGAAGCCCAGCCCCATAAGCTTTTAGGAATTCATCCAAAGCTGAGATTCTCTGATTTAGAAAGGAGTTTGAACCATCCATGATTGATCAGGGTAAGTTTTTCTCAGAAGAGAAAGTAACACCAATAAGACCAAGGAGCTTATAGTGGACTATAGAAGGAACAGATCAAACATCCATCCCTTGCTTATCAATGGAGACTGAGTGGAGCAAGTGGCCAGTTTTAAGTTTATGGGTGTTACCATAAAAGAGGATCTGACCTGGGGCGCCCACATTGCAGCCCTGGTCAAAAGGGCCCAGCAGAGATTATACTACCTGAGACTTCTCAGAAAACAACAACAGAATGAAAAACTGCCGGTGACCTTCTACCGCTGCACCATAGAGAATATCTTAACTTACTGCACCTCTGTATGGTTTGCCAATTGCACAGGGGCAGATAGGAAAGCACTCCAGAGGGTTAACATCATTGCCCAGAAGATCATTGGTTGCCCTCTTCCCCTCTTTGGAAGAGCTTCATAGCTCCCGCTGCCTTAAGAAAGTTCAAAACATCCTCAAAGATCCATCTCATCCTGGGCACCCTTTTTTTTTTTTTTGAACTATTACCATCTGGCAAACAGTACAGTATAATAAAAACAAGGACAAATAGGCTGAAAAACAGCTTGTATCCCAGGGCAGAAGCTCTGTTGAATTATACTGTATAGTGCAGTGTTGGTGAGGGGTTGGGGGTTTTCAATTCAATGTGTGGAGTGTGAAGGATGTGTGTGTTTATTTTCATGGTCATGATGTGCACTGAAGATGGTGTTCGATTTTGTTGTACGAGGTGCAATGACAATAAAGTAAACTAAACTAAAACTAAACTAACTTGTGATAAAAGTTGGCTGATTATGTGGTTCAGCTGACCATAAGTGTTAAAAAGATATCAGAATTCAAGGTGAATACCTCCTCCTATTTTTCTCACAACCACCATCTTGTGAGTGGGTTGGCCAAGCGAGAATAACAGGCTGAAAGTCACCCATGCCTAAGGGGAACTAGAACTCATGGTCCCCCAGTTTCTAATCCAGCAGTTGAACTGCTTAACAATCATTTATTATGTATTGATTTATAAAATGTATAGGCTGCCCATCTTACCTCAAGGTAACTGGGTGTTGTGGTTCGCCAGCAGCCAGTGCAGACGGTAGTGGAATTGGACAGTGGGGAAGAAAGCGAGAGCAGCTGAGACAAAAGGGGTGACTCAGGAGTAAGGCTTGGAGGTGATTGCCCCTTCTCTAAGGTATAAAGGTCAGGCCAAGATGACAAAACCTTTGCAGGAAGCAAGTAGTTCAATTGGTTCAGTCATTCTTGAAGCTCTTTGTACTTTAGTTGGTTTTTTTTTCCTAGTTCCTTTGATGCTTCTGTTTTTGGCAGCACCTCACAGAACTGAAAGGTGTGTGCTTATCTCAGGTGACTAGAATTAATTCCAGCTGGGAATGAAAACAATTCCCAGCATTGCAATAAAATAAGTCTTGTTTTCAAAATAAGTGTGTGTGTAATTAAGGTTTATGAAGCCTGGGTCAGAACACTGGGTGGCTTATTATAACATGATGATTATAACAAGCTCTCTCCAAGGGACAATATTGAACTAGAAAAAATTAAATCACAAAATTTCATCCAGTCGAATCAACCAAACATTTGTCAATCCTTCATCCTAAAGTCAGCTCTAGATTTTGGGGGCAGGTGGAAGGGGGAGGGTGACTTATCCTTAATACTCTGCTTATCTGCTGAAATTTAGCCTTTTGGGATGAAATCATGCTGTCCTGCCACACAGTCTTGGCACTCAGTCAGGCCAAAAAGTTAAAAATCACAATTAGAATGGGCTGAACACAAGAACCAAGATCCGGCAGGAAACACCAAAGTAATCAGATGACCAGCATTGCCAGAATGAGCTTAGAATTTTTTTGTTAAATAAGAAAAAATCCTTTCCAGCAAGAGATAAGTATTTCAATTACCTGTGCTAAACAAACAGATACCGTAACTCAGCAGTATGCAAAACATTCCCTCTCCAAATACCAGCTAAAAGTAAAGTAAAAGTAAAGGTTTCCTCGGTCCAGTTGCATCTGACTCTAGGGGGGGATGCTCATCTCTGTTTCTTAGCCAAAGTAGCCAGCATTATCTGAGGACATTTCTGTGGTCATGTGGCCAGCATGACTATATACGGAGGCACACGGAATGCTATTACCAGTACCTTCACACCAAAGTGATACCTATTTATCTACTTGCATTTGCCTGCTCTTAAACTGCTAGGTGAGCAGGAGCTGGAGCAAGTAATGGGAGCTCACCCTGTCACATGGCACTCAGGTCTCGAACCCAGACTGTCTCGAACCCAGATTTCCAGCTAACAAGCTCAGCATTTTAAACCAGTGAGCCATGCTTTCAATACTTTCTCAGAATTCCTTTGCTCATCTGCATGAAACAAAAGCAAGGTTTATCCATAGAAAGGGCTTTCAGACAGGGTTGGGATTCAATTTTTTTAACAACCAGTTCTGTGGGCATGGCCAGGTGGGCATAGTCATGTGACTGGGTGGGTGTGGTCTCTTTTTTGCAGCAACCCCCTCCCATTTTTGGGCCTCCTGGGCCTCAGGGAAGCCTCCTGGGTGAAGCAGTAAGATAGCGAGGGGGATCCCAGCATAGCTGATCATCGGAACAGTTGATCGTCGTGAGGGGAAAAAGATACCTTAAGGAGTGACTGGGTGGGGGAGAACGCAGTCAGTGATGTTGGGCATGTGTGTGATGTCATGCATGTGCGATATGGACTAACTGGGTGGGGAGGGGCAGGGTGGGGGGAAATGGGTGGGGCCAGCCAGGGGCATGGTTTGCTTTTTCTCTAAACTGCGCAGAATCATAACAACCGGTTCTATAGAACCAGTCCGAACCGGTAGAATTTTATCCCTGCTTTCAGGGAAGACTTGGCACAGCTGCCTCTGGCAACTCACTCCAGGTGTTGCATTCTTAGAAATAAAACTCATTTCAAGCAACTGTCTGGGCATTTTATTTCCAGCTTGGGAACAATTCTGGTAAGATTTCTTTGTAACAATTTGGGAACCATGGTAGGGTTCCAAGATCCACTGGGTCAATGGAC